CCTGTTCACAGGATGTACGTATGTCTGCCATCTAATACAGCCTAACCAACTCCATAGTTTGCATAATTGTCTTTGGGATAGCCTGTCATAGATTACATCTTAGGAGACAGTGTTTAACTTCAGATTCCAAACCATTAGAACTTTGCTCAGAAGATCCTGCTTGACTGTCTATATATCTATATTTATCATCTATTATCTTTGTCCTCCTATCTTTATCCTTATCTTTATCTTATCCTTATCTATAGGATAAGATACTGCTATTCTTAATGTATTATTTACTTCTTCAAATTGTATTTATACAGTAGTAACCAAAGTAGCATTGTTAAAATTGAGCTGTACAATGATACCTTGGTACTCATTGTTAATTGATTTTAGGGGTTCAATGAGTACTAAAAATGACCATGTGACTTACCACATGACCCTTTGTTTTGGCCAGGAAGAACTTCCTGCCTGTCCTTTTTCTTATGTCAACAACCTTCCTGTCTGTTCTCCATGGCTATCTCCCTATTTCTACCACAGAGTATCGAATACCAAACAAATGATGAGTACTGGGACAAAATTTTCACGTCAAATGAGTACCAAATTTGATGAGTTTTAAAGCAGTCAATACTATTGTATCAGGTAACATATACACAAATTCACTTCTAGCTGATCTCTTCTAGTGCTTTTCCATACTTTTTTAAGGAAAGATTTACAAAAATGAGCATTTTAGGACAGCTATTATTAGTTATTTGGAAAATATTGTATTGATATAGGACATTTTATGGATTCTTTACTTTTAAAATTTTATGAACATTACATAAACTGTATTGAGAAATTTATTTATTGTATCATTTGTAGAATATTAGTAGTAAAAGTTATAGTTTTATTTTACAGAACACATTCTGATATTGTCTGCACTGAATATTCTTGAGAGGAACAATTAGTGAAAAATCCTTAACGACAATATTTGTAGGAATGTCACAAGGGTATCTGAATTCCATTATCAGCAGGAATGTTTACAGGATCTGATCAAAATAATCAGTATGGCAATCACAACAGTGCAATTGAAACTCTACTTTTTTTAAAAAAATGTGCATTACACATTTTTACAAGACTCTGTGGATACTACAATGAATATCTTTTGTAGAAAGAGTAATAATACTTCTTATATTTACCGTTTTTCCTGGTCCAAATGATTTAACTCCATTTATAGAATAATTTAGTAAAACTAGATGGAGGGAGTGAAGATGAGACAGAGGAATTCAGCAAAGCAAAAAATAGGATACAGTTTATATTTCCTTTGAGGGGCTTTCCAAGGATTTTTTGGAGATTACTTTGAGGGGCTTTCCAAGGATTTTTTCCTATTACTTTCAATTAGTGGGACTAGATAAGAGAAATAACTTACTTTTGTTTATTTTTAAAAGAAAATAAAAAATCATTCATCTTGAACTAATTATTAGCTAGAACAGTTTTTTATTGTGTTCTGTGAAAATCTATAGTTCTTCCAGAACTCAGTGAGGTTCTGTGAGAGATTAAGGGCAAAAAGGAGGAAAAAAAAGAAGAAAAAAACCACTCAAAAGCAGCCAATTTTCTACTACAGAGCTTGCCTATTGATTACACATTCCATATTTTTTTTTAGCTAACAAGTACCATAATTTGAAAAAAAATGGGAAAACCCTGAGATAGAACACAAATATACATATGTACCCATCACACTACTAAATGTTATGCTCAGAAAAGGATTAAGAAATAATCAGCAATATTAAGCTGAGCTAGCTAATCTGAAGTAGAAGAGCACCCCTGCCATGTATTTCCAAGTAACAAATGTAACGTATTTAGGAAAAATTCACAACGCAAAGTTTTGCTGCACCAAAAATCTCCGTGATGACAAATGCTCCTTTAAAAGTATTTTGCAATGCATACGTCTCTTGCAGATTAAAGACGGATCAACTGAGAATTCCTGGATCCTATCTGTACCATGACTTTGGTTGCATTGTGCTCTTGATGTCTGGAGTTTTTCCAGTAGCTAAATGCTTATGTTAGAAACATAGCCAATGCATTGATGGATGGATTGATCAAAACTATTCAAGCTGTGAATTCTTCTGCTAGGGGAGTTTCTTGAAGAGAAGAGAAATGCAGTTAAATTACTGCTTGTTTTTTTGGGGGGGGCAGCTAACCACATATTAGAAAAACCCAAAGACTTTAGTCTTCAGTCAGACAGACAGGTTGTAATGTTTTTAAGATAAAAAGCAGAAAGGAGAATAAAAACACTGTAACCTTAAATGGTCTTAATATGGAGAAAGCAGGACCAAACAAAGTTTATTATTTGCTTCCAAGTAAACTAGTTAAAGTTCAATGGTTTAAAAAAGCATACTTTTTAGGAGAGGAATCAGGATCAATTAAAATTCTTCAAACTGCATAAGCTGCTGATGAATCTCATTTATTCATACCAATTCTGTTGAAGAAACAATGATGACACAACTTCCAAGAAATCAAGTAAATACATCATGTGTGGAAGCATTACAGTGGGAATTTCTAAAATATTTTTAAGACACAGCCTTTCTTAAAAAATGAATGCTACTGATTTTAAATTTGTAAACGTTATTTAGGTTTACAAACTGTAGCTGCTTATGGATATCACACCACAAACTGTCTAAAAATGCTCTTGAAGTAACACATATTTCCAATTTGCTTCCTCCAAATGTCTTGGGATCTACATTAGTTCAAATCTTTCTTTCATTTCATTTAAAAAATGCAGTTCCCTAAAGCCATTCTGGTTTGTCCAGATTAACAATAGGACTGCCCCAACAGTTTGAAAGAAGTGCTTTGTGACAACATCAGAAGATTTCAGAAGTTATTGTTTGCAGGATTGTTTGCTAGCTATTAAAATCAGAGCAATAGCATTGGAAGAAACTTTGTTATCAAGTACACTCACTCCTCTATGATTGATGGTAGCATGGTGAAAAGAATATCCTTGGAATATTATGAACAGTGATGTCTTGAAAGATATCATATACACTCCAGAAAATTAGCCAGTACTTATGATTGGGTTTGCAATCCAGGAAAATGTATTCTACCTTTGAGTAAAATTAAGATATTCTAGTAAGAAGATTGACATTTGTACAATTTCCAAATGGTCCTAAATTTTTTGGAGACCTCTGGCAAACCCTATCCTGTCCTTCTGAATTTTTATAGTAGTCTATTCTAGTTCCATAAGAGAAACTTAAATTGAAAAGAACAAGTACAATGAAGAATTGTTGGAAGGACTTCATTGGATGTGTGCAATTAGATGTTTCCATATTTTTCCCAACATGTAAAAGAGCATAAACAGTAGAAATCAGTGATTGTAAAATTGATTTAAAATGTCTGAAAGCTCACTAGTTTTGCTTATCTCAAGAGCAGCAAGCAATGTATTGTTACAGAAATAAAAAAATCCATGATTTTCATTATGTACTATCGGTTATTCTGATATTATTAGCTGAGGGACATTATACAGCACGGGTGTCAAACTTGCCACATCACGTGACGTGTCGTGGCGTATTTTTTGCATTGCCAGAACTGGGGTGGGTGTGGCCTCAGCATGATGCAACCGGCCCGCAGACTGGCAGTTTGACATCCCTGTTATACATCCATGAAACATTAAATGCCTTACTGTGGAAGTAAATGTATAAGTAACAGATTTTTGAGATGTGCTGCTTCCTGTTTCATAGTAGATATTTTAAAAGAGGGATACTGTGTAAATGAGTGTTATTTTATTTTTGTACACTTTTTATATATTTTATAGATGTGAGACTGAATTGTTAAGGAAAATTGTTATATTCTTCCAGTGTGAATATTTAAAAGAGTATATTGGCAAAAATTTCAGTGGGAGTCCATAAAGCTATAGTTTGCTTTCCTTTTTGGGTAGCATAATACTAGATTAGGCATGAGGTCTGCCAAGTCTCTTTTTCTGACCTTTTAAAATTGTAACAAGTAAATCTTACATGTAATTCACAAAATAATGTAAAAAGGAGATAAGAGTAATATGATGGTTTAGTTTGCATGCATAAATCTTCTGTTCATTTATTTCACATATCTGCAGAAGAAACCCATTATTTCTGATACCAATATTTCCAAAGGCTATATATTCCCTGGCTTGTATATTTTGAATAGACCTATTTTTTCCCTCCAGGGAATTTTTCAGCATTGTTTGAAGGCAGCCTAAATACATGAATGAAGAACGGCACTTACAATGCTTCATAGGCTGTGTCCAAAATGAAAGACATTGAACTTTTGATTTTCTTGTGTCAACTTCTGGAACTTCTTGTTGTAACATTTTTGAGCATCCAAGAGTAATGTGGGATATTTAGGAAATGTGAACTGAATACCTGGCCTGTCTCACCCATTTCTTTTGTTTTCTGGGGTGGTTTGGTCCAAAAGGATTACAGAAAGTAATTTGCCATGCACATTTATTGTGGATAAGGTTTTTATTTATCTTAAAGTTTAAAACTGATACAGGATTCCATTCAAAGGATTTCATGTTTCTCGTATCGCAGCATAGGGTGGTATTATTATTAGACATACCCTCTTTAGATGCTGGGGGCATGATGAAGATGAAAGGTAAGTTTGCCTAAGGCTACCTGCTGCATTCATGGCTGAGATGAGATTTTAAAGTAGGGGCCCACTGTCTTGTAGCCATTGCACAACATGAGCCCTCTAATAATAACAGCACAGTGGCAAAATATCTATAGGCCATGATACAAAACATGTAAGCCAGTGCTCTCTGTTTTCCTGCTCCAGCTTCCTGTGAAATAAAATATTGCATTTCATATGAAACATAGTTTATACTTGAAGGGGTGGAGTGGCACTTTGGTGAGCTCTTCCATGAAACATGAGGGGACCTCCACCAGAAGAGAAAGTAGCCCTTTTGTTGCAAGCTAGGCTACAAGAACTTTATTCTATCCAAGAAGAAAGAAGCTTCTAATACTTTTCCTAACTTTAGATGAAACTTCTCAGAATCTCTTTTTCACTTCACTTAGGAAGAAGAAACCATTGGCCTTCCTGCTGTTAAAGAATTATAACTCTCTGTATCCTTAAGCATTGGTCAAATTGATTCCTGAAAGCCCCAGCCTGGGTGAGAATTTAAGAGTTATAAAACCAAAATCTCTGAAATGTACAACGTTGGGAAAAATTGTTTAAGAAATGTAAATAAATGTTGAAAAAATTACTTCCATATTCTATCTTTACATCAATGTTAGAATTATAAAAATTTATAAGGCCAGCAGTGCTTTATCAGCATAAGTCATAGGTCAGGCATGTCAAACTTGCAACGTCACATGAGGTCGCACGACATATTGGGACTTTTTCCCCATTGCTAGCAATGGGGTGGGCGCGGTTTCAGCGTGATGCATCAGGCCCACGGGCTGGCAGTTTGACATGCGTGTCATAGATAATTCAAAGTTGTAAACATTCCTACACAAATTTGAACATCTTTGCATACATTCTGCAAAGAATAGTTCCATAATCCCAGATACAGATATAGATAGATATAGATATAGATATTCATCAAAGACTATTTAGTTTGAAGGTGAATTTACATGATATACATAAGTTTAAATGTTCTTTCCCAGTTAAGTAAAAAAAAAACACTGATTGCATTCTTAACATCTGTTTAATATGGTTGATATCATTCCCTTTAGGCTTCAAAAGGCATGATTTTTTTTAGATCTCTGGTGTGTGTGTGTGTGCATGCGCATTGTGAGATTAAAAAATGCTCTATTAATATCAACCAAAAATGAAGTTGGAGGGGTTAATCCTTTACCAGTAATTACATGTAAAACAATCAGCAGCAAACAAAGAAAGTATAGGTTCCACTGTCTCCTTTCAGATTTCCATGAGCAAATACATGTGTGTAAACATTGTCCCTAAGATCCATTACCTCCTTTAGCAAATTGAGTCCATTCTTTGCCTGCTGCTGTAAATTGCTTCTGAGGACACCAAATGTGTCAGGTCTGTCTATGTCCTTTCTATTTTCAACAGCCTCCTTTGGGCATATTGAAGGATAATAGGATGAAATTGAGCAAAGAAACATGTGGACTAAACAATGTGGATATTTTCCTAACAGTAAGATATATTAGGATGGAGAATGGATCTCCAGAATGTGTAGCTAAGCACCCTATTGCGTGAACAATTTCAATAGGACAGAGCATGCTAAGAAATGTAATAATACAGCAAAACCAGAATCAGACAGGGATTCTGTATGTTCTAAAATCCTTTACTAGGTTCACTTTTTGTTTTACAACAGTTAATTAGAAATATTGTTTTGTGTTCCAACATCTTGCTGTGGTATCCATATTTCCAATGCTTCTCTTTCATAATTTTTGCTTCAAAAGCTGTGCAATACTTCTATGTAATGCTTATTTGTGTTTTTCTGTGTATTGCTTATATTGATAAGGCATGTAGATACTTTTGTGGGATATCCATTAAATCTGTACAATTCATTTCCATGGCAGAAGAAACATTTCTGTTTTGAGGAATCTTGCGGTTTAATTATGCCCCCAAATTTGTTAAGCATTCTTTCCACAATTATCATTCAATCTTTTCTCCATTTTCCCAAAGAAGAAGAATATATCAGTGTGTTGGGTGTTAAGTGGGGGATTGGAAACTTTTTGAACAATGTAGTCTTCAATGGGCAAAAGATGTCAGCTGCATAGAATGTGTCCTAAATGGTTGCCTTATTCTGTTTGGTTAAGAAAGAGGAAAGAATTCTGAATGCATTGTGCTGCAGAAGAAGATTCTTTTTGAGAGATTCCAGATGATAAAAGAAAAGAAGATATTTGTACTGATGGTAACTTTCAATCTACAAGGAAGCATACTTGATTTCCTTATAAAGGGGACCAGAAGCATGGCAAAAGAGTTCTTGGGAGCCCTCAATATTCCATACATTTGATTAAGATGTTATTGGCTGATCATTCCCTGCAATATAAAGCTATATTTCTTGCTTACTTTCAAATCAACGCTACAGGACAATTATCCACCTAACACATGTAGATTTTGTCATGGCCATTCATTGTTCATAATAGCTTGCTTCCAATCAGCTCAGAATCAGTCATTTCCTCCTGCCAGTGAAGATTTTTAGTTGTTTTTTTTTCAGATAACTTTTAATTCCTAGTAACACAAGCATGTTCATTAGTTTTTTTTCCAATGACAATTTATTTCTGGAGAAACCATCATATTACGAAGAGGGTGCAGATAATTTGTACTTACTTTTGCTATATGGGGCCTTCCAAGCTTTTTATGATTCAATTAAATTCCAAAGGAGGGTTTATGAGTTCCTCCCCCTACCCTTCTTGCTCCATTTGTTAAGAACATGTCCTCATGGTGGAACCTCCATCAAAGAAAGAGACTGAAGTCAATCAAGGACAAAACTAGTGTTTTTCATTGGAAAGAAGGAATATGCCTTCCCCTGTATGATCATTCTATGTCGTATGGAAGAGGGCAAGAAGCAATATTGCCATTTGTAGTGTTTCAGCTGATCCACTGCGAAACCACACTCTCCCATCTGACTATGTGACACTATGCCACAATGATTATTTCTATTTTGTCTGGTGGAGGAACAGAACCTCACTTAGCAACCAAGGTTGTTGTTATTTTTTTGTCGGGACACTATCAACTTTGTGGAACATTTTCCTGGAAATTGATATTTCCATTAGTATGTGTGTGCGTACATGTGGATATGTGGAAATATGCCACAAAAGAAATTCTAGAGAAATTCTGCAAATAAGGGAATTAGGGAAAAAAACTCATCACTTATCCCAGTGTTAATTATTTTCACTGGTTTCATATCACAGAAGAAATGGTTATGTTGCACCATAATTCTCATAATGTATACAATATTTACATACAACAAACACAATGATACAATTAACATGTTTAGTCTTCATTTTCAAAATCAGAGCTGCAATTAAAGAAGTGTTTAAAAAAGACTTTTCTGCTGTATATTTTGATGCTTTTAAGTTCTGGATTTCAAGGTAACCCTTTTTATCAATTTCTTTAGTAAATTTAAATGATAGCTTGTTTATGTCCTTGTTAATCATTTGGTACCATGGCACTTTAACATGTTTCCTCTAAGATCAGTTATTTCTATATGATACCATCAAACATTGATGGACTACAGTTGTTATCACTATTAGATTGATAGGATGCATTATTCAATGTATCAGAAAGGCATGCCTCAGATATATAGTTATTTTTCTGTTCAAATTCAGAATGGGAACTAAAAAAAATCTTCAAACCATTTTCTTTACAGAGAAGGAAGAAAAAGAACTGCCAGGTTGAATTTATAGTCAGTTCAGTTTGGTGCATTCAAATTGTTTTGTGGTATTCGCTTAATTATCTATGGCGTATCTCATGCTCTAAAATCATACATAAAAGACTGAAGGCTCAAGAAGCTCAAGACAGTTCTGATAATGAGTCCCTGACAGATGCATGATGTGACATGGAAATACATATTGAATCAGAGACAGAGGGCATTCATTACCACAAGTATTTCACCTTCAACATAAATATGGGCTACTCTACATTTACTCAGGGATTATTGCTGCATTTTCAGCTAATTATCTTAAAGCATCTTGGCCTTAGGTTAGAGACGAGTGATTCCTAACAATCCATAGAATGAGCAAAAGGGACTTGGATTATCCCTTTGTTAAGTACATGACATTACCTTGGCAACATACCAAGTAGAACGGTAGAATATCATACAGTGAATGTCTTCTTCTTCTTCTTCTTCTTCTTCTTCTTCTTCTTCTTCTTCTTCTTCTTCTTCTTCTTCTTCTTCTTCTTCTTCTTCTTCTTCTTCTTCTTATTCTTCTTCTTCTTCTTCTTATTCTTCTTCTTCTTCTTCTTCTTCTTCTTCTTCTTCTTCTTCTTCTTCTTCTTCTTCTTCTTCTTCTTCTTCTTCTTCTTCTTCTTCTTCTTCTTCCTCTTCCTCCTCTTCCTCTTCTTCTTCTTCTTCCTTCTGTTTCTATTTTCTATTCATGATAAACCGCTTTTCACTAAAAGAAATGCTATTCTCTTTTAATGAATGTTCACAGAGTTCCTCACTACCAAGATGGTCAGCCTCTTAGTTCATGCCAGGTTGTGTGCCTGAATAATTGCAGCAGTTGGTTGATCAAATAACTGAAACATCACCCAGCCCCTTGATGGCCATTTGTATAATTCTCTCTTGCTTGTTTTTATGATGTACTAGTACTTTATTAGTAATATTAGAAAGATCAATTACAAATCATTAGTGTTGACAGCTTGCATCTTGCATATGTACAGTGAAGAAGATTCTTTCCCAAAGATCATGTAAATATATAACAGAAACCTCTGTTACTCCAATATATACAGTTAGTTAACAAAGGAACATTTATTTATGCATAGTATTTTGCCCCATAGCAAAAAATGAAGAAATATAATAACAACACTATTCATTACTGGTGGAGCCAAAGGTCAACTAATGCAAACCCACTTGCTTGTTTGTGACTTTTCCAAACAGGCAAAATATAGGATAGATACCCAATCAGTAACAGAAGACCTGTGAAGGCAATTTGTCTTGCTTTGAAGTAATACATCCAGGATCATTCCCATGTGTTGAAATAATCTAAAAAAATCACAAGCAGACTTTGCATTTGTGGAATATATTGTACATGAGTATTTAAATCATAAGACTAAGATCGATCAGTGAGAGGTAGGCAAAAATAGTGGTTTCTAGAGTGGAAAGAAGAATTTAAATGAAACATTAATTATTTGCTGCAGTGTTTTGCATCCTATTGTTCTGAAATTATTAATGTTCTGCAAAAATATTGCAAGTGTTCCCTGATGTTTGGGAATATTACTGAAATTTCAGGAGATCATTAAATCACACATCTTTTCAGTATTCTTATTCAAAATCTCACATATATTCATTTGAAAACACCAAAATCACATAGGATTTGTTACTCTAAGAAGATTTTTGCCACTTTGTCTTTTTCAAAAAAATGTAATTGGGTCTCATGAATACCATCCTCTGGTACCACATCATTGACCTCTGGTTTATATGAAACTCTTGAAATTTTTTGATGTTACAGTGTTCTCTATAAAGAAAACTGGTGGGAACTGCTGTACTATACTTTACAACTCATAGGAATGATCTACATGTATAAATATAAACATATACTGGAATCTTTTTAGGCTAGAGCTTCATGCAGGAGGGGGATTTTAGGTGGATAAATCTTTGTAACAGAAAATGGAATAACCTTTTTTTGATGGATTTGTTAAATAATTTGCTGATCCACCATAAGTTAACCAGTGATACTAAACATCAGTAACTCCCAATTTATCATACATACTCCATTGCATTCAGTCAGCTAATGTGGGATATTGGCAGATCCATAGATTTTCACTATCAATGCAATGTACATAAGTTTGGGGGCACAGATTGCAGAAGAGGAAGCATCAGGATGCACATATGGTATTTGTATTTCACTACAGCTGAGATGGATCTTTTTTCAGCTTCCCTATTTAGAAAGTATTTTCACATTTCAATATGAACTTAAACTTTATCCCTCCCCTTACTTTTGTCCAAATCAAGGGCAACAGAGCCATGTTTGGATACTTATTTCTAGATGAGATAAGATGAGATAAAATAAGGCTTTTGTGTCTAAATTTGCTTCTACATCCTTGAAATATTGGTATTACAGTATTTGAAAAGAAAAAATAAGTTTTGAATCATGCTTTGTACATCTAGTTTCAGAACAATCTGAGTTCATAAACCAATTTCAAACTGTGGTTTAATATTAGAGCTAGAAACCATAGTTCTTTGGTTCAGATTCCATCATGTATCACTCAGCAACCAAATTTACATTCAGTTTGATAATTGAGATATTAGTTTAAAAATTCATTCAACAGAGAATTTCAAAAATAGAACTGAGAGTATTGAATAACGTTTTTGTACCTATTTAATAAGTAGTCAAGCAGTGTGTATGAAACTCTTGACTTCTATTGTAGAATCAACTCTGCAATCATCTATAGCCTCCTTGGCATCTTATTCTGATTCTATTAAATCCAAAGGAAAAATATCATGAATTTCTCCCTGATCGCTTTTTCATTGCATTGCTATTATCACTGTCAAGGAGATTCTTATCATTCAGAAATTGTTATAAAAGATTTCCTTCCCTGGAGAAGTTCAAAGAAATAATATCTTCTGTTTCTAAGGCCACAATTTTGATGGAGAATTTGTAAAGGTTATTTATGTCCAACTCTAATTTATAGATATATAGATCAATATAGATATAAATGTAGACAGCCGTGTACCACACACCTGTGAAAAACTATTTTCTCCTTTGGTGATTCTCTGAATTTTTGCCAGTGAATATTATCCAATTCCGTGTGGTTCCTATTCCTGATTAAACAAATAATGCCAAAATCTGATTGTTATTTTCTTTATACTTTTTAAGAAATTCGTCACTTTTTCCTGAGCTAAAACAGTTTGCTACAGAGGAATGACTAAAATTTCTACACTGGAATATGAAAGATAGGAACCAATTGCAATTATTCTATCTCAACTTGTTATTAAATCCAAGGATGCAATAACTTTTTTCATACGTAATCATCACTTTGTTTATATAACAAATAAACAAACCTTCAATGAAAGAGACAAATAATTTTTCCCAACATTGTATATCAATTCTTTATTGTACTAATTTCAATAGCACTTAACAGTTCAGGTTGCCTCTATAATTCTATAGAATTATCATCTTTAAACTACTCTTAGCTTAGTTTTACCTTTTTTGTCCTGTTAATTTCATCTGCGGCATGAAGTTACAATAAATAGAAAAAGCAATTAATATGTTAAGCAGAAGGATTCTAATGAAATTCATGTACAGACCTGACTTACTTACACTGCAACGGCATGTCTGGAACAGAATATGCAATTTTGTGGCTTGTTCTAGCAGGCGACACAGAGTCCCTTGACCTCTCCTACGCTCAAGATACACATAGTCTTCTTTTAATGGCTGAAATGAGTCTGAGGCTCTCCCAGTAGAACCAGTTTTCACCCTCTGTGAATTGAAGCCTCAGCATCTCTGCAGAGCTTAGTTTGGTGAGAAGCCAGCATAAGAATAACCCTGTGACCTTTTGCTCCAAATGGTAGGGTTTTTCACATCCTGATGAGTGGATCTGCACTTCCAAGAAGCTTGGCATCAATGCACATCCTGAACTAATAAAGGCTGATGGGATATTTTGTCAGTGAGAAAAGATGCATTTACTCACAGCTTGTCACCCTGTTGCTGTCGTCTCAAGACTTTCACTGAAAAATTCTTTAAGAAAATCACAACCATTACAATTCCAGACCATTATTGAAAACATCATCCTGGAAAATTCTTGGGCTGAAATATATTTTTGTGTAGCTCCTGATCTCCTGCAGAAAGAATCATCATGGATTTAGCCAACTGATATTGTGAACAAAAGTGAACAACCTGTATGGAATTGAAATGTAGTTTAAGTTACGTAAGTTAAAGTAATACTGTACAACTCAACATACATTACATTCTAAGGCTTTTCCAGGTATCTCAGTGGAAAGAGCCCGAATTATGTCTTGCTTGATGTGGTTTATCAGCCTATAAATAATAGTACAGTATGATCGGTACTTAGGATTTGAAATTGACCTGGCTTTTGTTAGAGAAAAACACCTGGGACTTAAATGCAGAATTGCCTTTAATAATCATCAGGAAATTAAACCAAGCAGCATTTGACTTTTATAAAATGGCTTCTTCACTTTCACAGGATAAAGCATTATAAACGATTCACACAAGTGGGATGGGAAATAATAAACATCTCCAAAACAACCGTATCCAATATAATCAGTAAACAGACCCGAGTCTGCTGCTATTCCAATAGCTCTGAATAAATAATTAATAGCTACTGACAAGGTAACATATATAGCACTAGTCAGTTCTGTACTTCTTGTTTTGTACTCTGGACC